AATCCTAAACACAACCATCACAGTTATTAACGTCTACACCTTCCCCAAACCAAAACCCAACCATCATCGTTATTAACATCCACACCTTCCACAAACCTAAACCCAACCATCATCGTTATTAACATCTACACCTTCCACAAACCTAAACCCAACCATCATCGTTATTAACATCTACACCTTCCCCAAACCTTAACCCAACCTTCACAGTTATTAAAGTCTACACCTTCCCCAAACCAAAACCCAACCATCATCGTTATTAACATCCACACCTTCCACAAACCTAAACCCAACCATCATCGTTATTAACATCTACACCTTCCCCAAACCTAAACCCAACCATCATAGTTATTAACATCTACACCTTCCCCAAACCTAAACCCAACCATCATAGTTATTAACATCTACACCTTCCCCAAACCTAAACCCAACCATCATCGTTATTAACATCCACACCGTCCTCAAACCTAAACCCAACCATCATAGTTATTAACATCTACACCTTCCCCAAACCTAAACCCAACCATCAGTTATTAACATCTACACCTTCCCCAAACCTAAACCCAACCATCATAGTTATTAACATCTACACCTTCCACAAACCTAAACCCAACCATCATAGTTATTAACATCTACACCTTCCCCAAACCTAAACCCAACCATCATAGTTATTAACATCTACACCTTCCCCAAACCTAAACCCAACCATCATCGTTATTAACATCTACACCTTCCCCAAACCTTAACCCAAACCTCACAGTTATTAACGTCTACACCTTCCCTAATCCTAAACCCAACCATCCCAGTTATTAACGTCTACACCAGGGGTCACCAATCTCGGTCCTAGAGGGCCAGTGTCCCTGCAGGGTTTAGCTCCAACTTGCCTCAACTTACCTGCCTGTGTGTTTCTAGTATACCTAGTAAGACATTGATTAGCTAGTTCAGGTGTGTTTGATTAGGGTTGGAGCTAGGGTTGTAACAATATACCGGTATGACGGTTTACCACGATTTGAACGTGCACGATTATCATACCATGAACAATTGCATATCAACGGTTTTAACCCTTAAAGACCGAGACAGCCGCCCGCGGCTAAAAATAAGTAACGTTATTGCTCTTAAATGTTTAATAACTTTTGATCCGCTGATCCGATTCATACAATTCAAAGATTGGCATAAAGAAGAGAATCTCAGAATCTCTTTCCAGTGCTGTATCACATAACATTCGCGGACTTTCAGAGGCTCCGGAATCAGTGCGGTTACGTCATCAACATTTGACAACGCTGATTTGACAAAGAAACGCTCGTCACTGTGTCTCCGGACAAATCAGACATGATACATCGATGCATTGTCCCTCCTCCATGCCCAGATTGGTTCAAACTCGCTATATCACAACCAATAAGCATAGGTTTCGCTTTTGTTTGTGGACTAAGCTTTTTGAACAACACGGAATGAGAGATAGGCATACATTTATGCGCGGCTAAATAAAACGCAAAAAAAAAAAGGTTTTGCATGAAATAATTCTCATACTAAGTACTTTTGCATGCAAAGCAGCACAGAAACATGACAAAACAGTGACACAGCAAAGACGAACTGCTGCTCTTGCTGTTTTCAAAAGACGCAAATGAAGATGCAGCTGTTTGTCTGCATTGCAGACAACCATATCCATATCCATAGACAACCATATCCATGCTGGCACATAAAACCTAAGGATGTTCCATATTGAATCTAGTTTCGTTATGTAACTATTTATAGTATAGTAAATATTTATATCTATTTTTTACTGAGGATTTGCACCATGTTTATTTGGACTTTATTTGGACTCTGACACATTATTTATTATTTTCTTATTTTTATTTGTTCATTGTAAGTGGTGTTGTTTATAGTAACTAAAAATATATTATTTGGAAAAAGTCAAATTTGCTTCACTGTTCTATTATTTTGTAACATTTGTAACATACCGTATACCGCGAAACCGTCAAACCGTGGTATTGTTTTAGACGATTATCATACCGTGAAAAATTCATACCGTTACAACCCTAGTTGGAGCTAAAATCTGCAAGACATCTGCCCTCCAGGAACAACCTAAACCCAACCATCACAGTAATTAATGTCTACACCTTCCCCAAACCTATACCCAACCATCACAGTTATTAATGTCTACACCTTCCCCAAACCTAAACCCAACCATCACAGTAATTAATGTCTACACCTTCCCCAAACCTAAACCCAACCTTCACAGTTATTAACGTCTACACCTTCCCCAAACCTAAACCCAACCATCAGTTATTAATGCACAGCCGCGAGTCACGGAAGCTTTCATACTTGACACACTCGCCATTGTACTGTTATTTGCAACCACAGACGGGGATGTGGAGTAGACATCTGTCATGACAAAACATATAAAGCAGTCAGCGAGTGAAGTTGCTAAATGAATGAATATAATAATACATCAAATGACTTTGTTGTGGATAAATTTGGGGAAAACTCATGAAAAGATTTGGTGAAAATGTTCTCTGGTAAGTATTTCCACCATCTTGCCAACAACATGTCGTTGGTTCAATGGGATCTCGATAACTGCAAGTTACGCCTCTAACTTACTACATGTTACGTCCCTTCATCTTACGCCCCCGTCTTGCAGTCCGCAGACAGATACATTTGGGGCTGGGCGATAAAATCTGCATCGATATTTATTGACCGAACAATTTAGTGTGCAATTTACCATGATTGCCTCGGAGTCGCCAATGGAAATAAAACAAACACACACAAGAAATACACGTACACCAGACATGAAGTTGGCCTGGACCAACGCACATTCTCACGTTCATTTCATCATTAGTAAATCCAAACGTGAGCATGAAATCTGGAGTACGGTCTTTTCTTAGCTTAGTGTATCTGAGCTTTCTTTGCCACCACAATAAAGTAACGCTCATTGTTTATTTTTTCGAAATATCAATATTAATCTATAGTTACTGAAGCAAATCAGATCAAGATTTCTAAATCCAAATGACCGCTTGTGATACTGAATCTAATCTGGGCATCTGAATCAGTATCTAGCACTGGGTGCAACATATTTATGTTATTATAATGTTATTATATTTCATATTTTAACTCAAATTAAATGCATTTATAAGTCAGCAATCGAAGAAAATGTATCCGCTTGGAAGGAAACTAACAAAAAGGAGTGAAAAGAGAAGCACACAAGACCTTTTTTTTCCTGACAAATTTTTTTTATATGTATAAACAATATGTGTTTACTTTATTAACCTTTATTTCAAACTGTATAACTTGCCAAGGTGTCAAGACGCTTAAAGTGTCATACAAAATCTGTCAAGAATGAATGGAAGGCTTAAAGGCTATCGGGTTTCTTGGCATCCCTTACAGTCTGGGCAGACCTTGGGATTACCCTGGGCAATCCAGCGCAAATGTTCTTCATGTGCCACTATGAAAGCATGGCTAATCTGCATGTGTGAAGGTCAGAACTGCTCATCCATACAGAGAAGCGCCTGCGGCCAAACAGCATCTGATCGCATAAGATGCAGAACTGGAGAACTAAAAGCAGGCAGCTTTAACCTCTTGTGGAAAAACTATACGAGGAAATCAGATTCACTTGAGTATTTAGCGACACAGATTCTGAATTATGGAATAACTCAAAATAGAAAATACATATGATCAGGTACATATGAAATATTTGATTTTAAGGCACCAAATGACTGCATTAATAGTTAAAGCAAACCAAACATTACCAGCATTTATTGTTTCACAAAGAAACAGCCTACAGCATTTAGCTGAATGAATATTAATTTATGCTAAACTATTCCAATAGATTCATCAGCTTTTCCTCTAGACACGCATAAAAACATATTAAGCAGCAAAGTCAATTTATCACTAAAATCGAACATGAAAACTAGTAACCTGAATAGCTTGAATGTATAATCCAAGGTGATAAACTATTGAAGCTACCTATAGACTGTTAACATCTGACTCAAAACAAAATTACTAGGATGTTAAGACATTATATTCATACTATTTTGGATATTATTGTTTTTTTACATTATACACAGCCTAGCTAGACAGCATTTTAGGCATCAGTATGCTGAAGTCTAGTGAGTCACCTACCTAGACAAATACTAGTTTAATGTTGTCACAAAACCCAGTGAGCTGCCTAGGTTTTGAAATACACCAGCCCGCCTTATCATATCTTATAAATTAAAAGATTTTCGTGTATAAAACCATGTACAGATAGCCTTAAGAAATAACAGCAAGTGAGTGTGAGGTGAATGTGAAAACATTAATTACTGCATAATGAAGTGAAGCCAGACGGGCGCAATGGCGCTAATACAAGCTAGCAATGCTAATCAGTAGCCCTGTGCTCTGAAAACGCCGTCTAGCACTTAGTTTCAGACAGTGCTAACCGGTAACCATACGTCAAAAACGAAAACGAATTTTTATATGGAAAGAATCGTTAACTCAATTAGTCGTTTTATTCGAGTGAATAAAAAGCGTTAGCAGTGGGTTTTTTACTTAGTAGCAACGCAATGCTAGAATCTTCCATCATTGAACTGCACCGATCGAGATCTTTAGCGAGAATCGCAGCCGATCATGTGTTCAATAACATGACACGGATTTAATAGTGATTATGCTTCATTGTTTTACTGTGTATACGAACATAAGCCGCGCTGCATATCCGGTTGCTGAAATAGGAATCTTTCTGAGCATATATGAAGTCTCGGTGCAGGCTAACACATGCTAACATTGTTAGCACAGTCACCTTGGGCAGAACTTGACATGTTCTGCTGCCTGTCAAGCCACAGACAAGCCCAAAACTGGGGAATAACAAAGCCTGATCAACATCAGCATGTTATTTAACTGTTCATGGACGTCACGTGCATTCAATGAACGTAAACTAATACATTCCAAGCTGATATTAAGGGTAGCATCGGGCCACAGCTAGACCTGCATGCGAAACTTGAACACACACACATAAGGAAAGCTAAAGCGTTCACCTGGGCTCTGCTGTTGCCGTTGTTCCCGGGGCTCATTGCCGGGTGGTTTCTTTGTTGTGCTGCCCAGCTGTGGCTGGCAGCTGGGCTGTACGGGGAGCTCATGTCTTTGCCCAAACCCATACCCGACTGCTGCTGCTGCGATGGCGGGTTGCTGTAATCTTGATAGCCGCCACCGTATCCCCGCATCATCGGACTCGGGGATGTCAGGAGCTGGTTCAGGGTGGGTGTAGCTCCAGAAGGGTGCTGTTGGTTTTGTCCGGGAAACCTCTGAAAGCTCCCAACATTGGCACCAGGAGCCGGGGTGGTCGAGGCCATAGCAGCCTTGCCATGGCTAGCAGCAGCAGCGGTAGGCGAATTGGTACCTGGGCCCATCATGTTCCCCTGCCGCGACGGGCTCATCATACCGTATCCAGCGCCGCCGTACCCCGGCCGGTAGTTGGGATAGTGGTTGTACGGATTATTATGGTACCCTTCGTGGGAGTTCTGCACTTGATCCATGTTGCCCGGTGCCTGATGTATTAAAGCCGTCCTAGGGCTTTGTTGTCCGCCATGTTGATCAAAGCAAGGCCCTCCTCTTCCATTCCCGTAATAATTATTAAACTCAGAAACTGAGCTGCTCCCGCTTTGGGACGCGCTGCCTCCGCCGCCGCCGCTGTTGTTGTTGTTGTTATTGTTGCTCGCTGGTCCAAAGTTGGAGTGCTCGTACCTGCTGCCCATTCGATCCCCCCCGGTTTTGGACGAGCGATCCTCCTCGTCGCCTGTGTTCAGCAAACGCGGATGGCGATCGACCTGCGCCTCCAGAGCGTCTTCTTTTCCTCCATGCTGCGGATCTGCGCGGTTGCTGCTGCTGTGGATGGTGATGGAGATGTTGTTGTTGTTGTGCGCGGCTCGCTGCTGGTGCTGCTGATGGAATGCTCGCGACTGTTGCTGTGGAGGTGTGCGATGATGAGGCGAAGGAGGGGGATCTCCGCGTCCAACATTTTTCACTTGATGATTCGCGACCAGACCCGTTTCCATACTCGAAGTCGCGTTTAAACGAGCATTAAAGTCTGTAGGTTTATTTCCCCCAGCGTCTGTGTTTTCGCAGACTCTATAGCCGCACGCTGCTGATGCCCATCTACATTATTCATTGGGGTAGCGCTGTGCCATCGTCTGCCCCATATCGCACAGTTTTCTCCTCATTCACGCCGGTATAGCTATATATATGTGGGCTTGCGATTTGAGGATGGAGCGTTCGCCACCGCTGTCCTGTCAGTGGGTGAATGTGTGCTGGGCACGAGCTGTGAAAACAATTACTGATGCGTTTGAGACGAAGACAAATGACACCAATATGCGTTTAACTGGTACTGCTCTGAGGCGAGCGGAGACTTCAACGCATTTTCGCAAAGTGGAAAGTTTATTTCTAATATCAAACTTCCCCATTCCCACAGAGGCAAATGTGAGCGTGTACAAATGTGCGTATAAGACCCCTGCCGGAGCCCCTTTGCTCCAGCATGGCATTATCGAGCATCTCCTCCAGCTCTCTGCGCAGAGTCTGCTGGAAAACACGGCGCGGCCGGTTAACAATTTTGGATTTCCTCACATCACATTTGAATCAATCTCATCTTTATTAAACATAAGAGAGTTCATGTGACTGTTGGACCAGTGTTTGGACCAAAGGGACCCCCCCCCCATAAAGTGGAAAAACTAATTATTCAGGGAGGTCTGTTTTTTTTTTTTTTTTTTTCATTAAAACTTTTTTTTTTTTTAAATAAACTTTTATTTAGAAAAGAAGAAATGTACAATATAAATCAGGAAGTAATATGTAGGAGACTGGAACATAAGTACATACAAATACAAAGTGATAAGAACAGAAAGTAATAGAAAGAGAAAAAATTAAATAAAGAAAAGAAAAAAGAGAATAAAATAAAGAAAGGGGACAGTACAAAAGTAAATAAAAAACACAGAAAGTATTAAAAACTAACTTACTGGAAGCATGATATTTTCATAAGTTTCTATTAACTTGCAGAATTTTTGTTGTTTGACAAACATATAGCTTTAAGCAAGAAATCAATTTCAATTAACAATTGGCAAATGAGGTAAAGGATTTCCGAAATTTTGTTTGTGGATACAATTTTTTGCATACCATATAAAAAGTAATATATATATATATATATATATATATATATATATATATATATATATATATTCTTCATGGCGAGGCAGTGGCACAGTAGGTAGTTCTGTCGCCTCACAGCAAGAAGGTCGCTGGGTCGAACCTCGGCTCAGTTGGCATTTCTGTGTGGAGTTTGCATGTTCTCCCTGCCTTCGTGTGGGTTTCCCCCACAGTCCAAAGACATGTGGTACAGGTGAATTGGATAGACTAAATTGTCGGTAGTGTGTGAGTGTGTTGGAGATGGGTTGCGGCTGGAAGGGCATCCGCTGCGTAAAACGTGCTGGATAAGTTTGCGGTTCATTCCGCTGTGGCGATCCCGGATTAATAAAGGGACTATATAACAAATAATATCTTTCAATTTCAAAGATTTGTTTTGTTGATTGTAATTTGTTTAAATAAATATATAGATCTGACCAAAACTTGAGTAAGATTTTACATGTAAAAAATATGCGAGTCGAAGTTTCCTCATTTTCCTGACAGAAAGGACGAGTAACTGCAATATCAGTAAATTTTGAGATAAATGCATCGACCGGGTATATTTTGTGCAGAATTTTAAAATGGACTTCCTTTGCTTCTTGGGATAACATATTTATATGGGAGAAGCCATGTTCTTTTCCAGTCAATATCTTCTGTTAACGCTGACCAATACGATTTCCCTCTTGGAGCAGTTTGATTTTTTTTTTTGTTGGAGAATTCGAAGAGTTTGTTGTTGCATTTCTTATCATATACACTAATACCTTTTAATAATAAGAAGGTTGGTTCTTTTATTTATATATGAAATATGAATTTTTGTTAGATGTATTAATTGTTTTGGGCATTTTTTTAAAAAGGTTAAATTTCTTAAATGGGATTGAAAAATGTATGAATGTTCATAAATTATTCGTTTCATTAAAAACTAGGATAGATATAATTTTGGGGCATCGCGTCAAAGCAGCACCACACAAGATTTGTGTGCATTTTTTGTCACAATTTTGTAATAAACTCATCTAAATTAGTTAATTTGATTGTTTTTGAAGTTTTTATTTTTAAATGAAATTGAATCATGTGCCGCAAACTTTTTTTTTGTGGATGATTTTCATTTACAGATCACTGCATGATGCATTGAGGATTCTTATGTTCACCTTAAGTCAGGACGACAGTAAGATAATTGTTCTTACAGCTATAGTTGGCGGTTCAATCTGCTGTGGTGACCCCTGATAAATAAGGGACTAAGCCGAAGGAAAACAAATGAATGATTGTTTATAACCGCTGTAGTAAATTTACAGACTGAAAAAGCCTTTAACGTTCTGAAAAGTCACAAGGTTATGGTCTAGCGCAGGGGGGTTCAAACTCAGTCCTGAAGGGCCGGTGTCCTGAAGAGTTTAGTTCCAACCCTACTCAACCACACCTGAACCAGGTAGTCAAGCTCTTAAGCTGTGGTCACACTGGGCTTTTCCTCCCATGACTTCCATTCATACGCACGCGAATGGTCAGACCGGAAACACAGGGTCATGCGTCAAGTTTTGCAGGATGCTGCGGTGCAAAGGTCAAGCTTGGTGAACTCTGACCTGCGAAATTGCATCGCTTGACTGCATGAGACCAATCGAGGGTCAAAACATGACCTTTCTGGACTGATTTGTAAAATATGGAGCAATCGCTCGCTTTTTAAATGTCTAATCATCTTGTTTGATCCCGCTCCTTTTCGCAGCGCTGTACGACAGAATTTCGCAAACTCAAACTATGGTGTGACCGCAGCTTTACAAGAGAAACTTACTAGCAGGTGGTGTTGGAGCTAAACCCTGCAAGACACCAGCCCTCTAGGACCGAGTTTGGACACCCCTGGCCTAAGAAGACCCCCCACAGTTTCACACAATTTGAGCCAGTCATAAGTGTTACCCACTTACTTTCCTTCTTAGTCCCTGATTTATCAGGGGTCGGCACAGAGGAATGAACCACCAATTACTCTGTCATATGTTTTATGTGCCGGATGCCTTATCAGCCACAACCCATTGAGAGTACACTGGGTAACATCCACACACTCTCTCATTCACACATGCTCATACACTATGGCCAGTTTAGTTTACTGGACCATGAAGGAAAATCAGAGCACCTTGAGGAAACCCACATGAACACAGAGCCTTCTAGCCCAGCCAGGACTCGAACCACCTTATTGCTTTGAGGCGACACCGCTAACATGGCATTGTTGTCTCACAGCAAGAAGGTTGCTGGTTTTTAGCCTCATCTGAGTCAGTTGGCCATTCTGTGTGGAGTTTGAATGTTCTCCTTGTGTTGGTTTCCTCCGGGTGCTCTCGTTTCCCGCTCAAGTCCAAAGACATGCGCTATAGGTGAATTGTGTAGACTAAATTGTCCGTAGTGCATGTGTGTAAATTAGTGAGTATACGTGTTTCCAAGTGATGGGTTGCAGCTGGAAGGGCATCCGCTGGATAAGTTGGCGGTTCATTCCGCTGCGGCGACCGCTGATGAATAAAGGGACTAAGCCCTAAAAGAAAATGAATGAATTTTCTGGTCTCTACCATTGTCCAATTTAATTGTCACAAAAAGTCTTGATTCCTCTCGGCTTTTAGTAGAGAGATCCACCAGAAACCATTATATAAGTTTACAGATCTTACAGTAACTCTCTTTTTTTGGGGAATTTTAATTCCTCTAATAACTTTCAAAGTGCTCCAAGGTCTTAGTGTAAGAAAAACAGTGACTCCAGAACCTCAGTATTGACCAAAAGAGCTTGAAGGATCCCAATTACTGCAAAAGGATCCTGCAAGTACAGCATAGACTGTCAGTGGTTCCTCAAGGAACCCCTTCTTTGAAGGGTCGAGGCACTTAAAATACATTTTGAAGTTCCTTGAGTACTCAACAGCAGTGGCGCCTGCAGCCGTATAGCTTTACGTACTGTGCACACATTGCAAGAATCAGATGCTTTGTTTCCAGTGAAGACATCAAGAAACTTGTTCATGCTTTTATCAGCAGTAGGGTGGATTACTGTAATAGACTCTTCACTGGCCTTCCCAAAAAGACAGTCAGACAGTTGCAGATCATCCAGAACGCTGCGGACAGGATTCTGACCAGAACCAGGAAATCAGAGCACATCACACCTGTCCTCAGGTCTTTACACTGGCTCCCGGTAACCTTCAGAATAGATTTTAAAGTATTATTACTGGTCTATCACTTAATGGCCTAGAACCACAATACATTACAGATATGCTCTCTGAATACAAACCTAATTGATCACTCAGATTTTTAGGATCAAATAAACTAGAAATACCAAGAGTTCAGCCAAAGCAGGTTGAATCAGTCTTCGGCTACTAACAGCGCCCCCTGCTGCTGGAATCAGCTTCCAGAAATAATCAGATGTGCTCCAACATTAGGCACATTCAAATCAAGACTTAGGGTGCTTTCACATCTGTAGTTCGCTTCATTTGGTCCGGACCAAACGCAATAAATGATACATTGTTGCATCTTCTGCCGTCTTTGGGTCGTTTTCACACCACACTGCTGGCTTTGGTCCGAACCAGTTGAAACGAACCAAAATGCAGTCATCTGACAAAATCCACATCTCTCACTGGCCAGATGTTGTTGAACATATTTCCTAAACTGCTTATTGATTGGTCAGAATTCACGTGCGGGAAAATGCCAGTGAACTCCCGCAGGTAAACAAAACCTTTTACTCTGGAGGGACGACTGCGCTGGCTGATTGTGTCCCTGCTTTAGACAAACTTTACATTTTGAAAATGAAGCGCGGCCGCGGCTGGAAAACAGTGTTTAATGCATCACTCGTCACTTCAGGAGGAGTCGTGAATTAATTTAGCTAAACTGTGACATGGTCATTATGCGGAAATATTACTAACGATCCATCAGGTAATGTTTTCCCCTCTCTCTCTCTCTCTGTTGGTAAAGCGCTGTCAACAAATATTTTTTCTCCATATCCCATAATGCACAGCGCATCGGCCTACGGCAGACCAATTAGTCCAAAACGCGCAGTACTTTTTGCGGTTGGACCTGTTTTAGTACGTATCATATTCTCACCACAAACGAACCGCGCCAGGGTTCGTTTGAAAGCATACCGAGACCACCTCTTCAAGCAGGTCTCGGTACGCTTGTTTGGTCCGCTTTTGGTGCACACTCGAGTACGACTGCTGCATTCTCACCTGCCCAAACGAACCGTACCAAAAGGTAAAACGAACTCTAGTGCGATTTAATCGAACTAAATAAGGCAGGTGTGAAAGCACCCTGAAAACACATCTGTTTAGCTCTGCATTTACTGAATGAGCACTGTGCTACGTCCGACAGATCACACTATTGTCTTTCTTTTATAATTATTAATAATAATTAATATTTGAATCTGTTTTTAATCATTTGAATTATTTGTTTTTTATTTTCTTATGCTTGTCTTTTTTTATTTTTGTTTATGTAAAGCACCTTGAATTACCACTGTGTATAAATTGTGTTACCGTGTGATTGTGTTGCTAAAATCACACAAAGGAGAGTAAATAATCAGATAATTACCATTTTTGGCTGAACGATCCTTTTAAAACTCCTTTTTCTTTCAGGATTGCTATCCT